AGAGGAAAAGTGGGGGAGAGAATAGATCGATATTCTTATTATTACTCAATGATGTAGGAGTACATATATATATACATGTGATACAATTAGGGTTTCCTTGTAAAATAATAAACATAGTATATCTAGAATATCCTAGAATTATCATAAGGGTATAATAGGGCATCCACTAAATACATATATTATATAACACTCCCCTTGGATGACCATTATCGAATAGTGTGCCTCGTTAAAACCTTACTAGGAAAAACCCGAAGGGATAAAAACCTAGTGAAGGAAAAAGAGTACAACACTATCGAAATACGTCTTGACATACTGCCTCGTTAAAAACCTTACCAGGAAAACCCAATGTGAGACAAAACCATGGTTAAGGGAAAAAGAGTGCAGCGCGTATTTTCTCCCCCTGATGAATGCATAACTTGAGATCTTCCAATGTAATGAATCCAATGCCTTAGTAACTTCACACTTGTAGCTGAATATCATTACTTGATAGTTGATCCTCCCTGATATAATCAAACTTGAATCTTCTAATCTTCACTTTGAGACATCTTCATTTCTCCACACTTGTGATAACAATATCTATGTTGCGTTTACCACTACCTTATATGACATTTTTGTTTCAAGTTGCCTTACCATCAAAATTTACCTACTTCTGGAGGTCGTTAAAGTAGCTATTGATAATAATAACATAAGTAATTATTATATACTTTACTCATGGTTCTTCTGGACCATAAGAAGATTATCCTTACTTCAATATAGCTCATTACTATTCTTCTTTAGACATTTTGCATTTTATACAGGAGTTTTCCAATGAATATAAGAATCGATTTACTCTCACTTGGTTAAACTTCAGGTTGATATTTCAATAACTTAGTCACCAATACTCTCCATGAGTTTGATAACAATATCAACATTGTCATTTTTCAGAATATAGAATTTGGAGGGCTAGATATTTGAATACGTTGTATGTAAGTTTTGCGGGAACTTTTCATGCATGATTCATGACATGCTATTGGATTGTCATCATATAAACTTTCATCACAATTATAAGCCCATCGGAGTATAAATTTCTTCTTGTAAGTCTTCATCATAATTATAAACTCGTCATACCACAAACATTCACATATAACACAATTGTTGTTGTATAGAATTATTATTAATGCATGCAATATGAGATATACAATTCATGATAAAACATTAACAAAATATATATGTAATGAGTAATGCATCAAACTACATCCTATACATACAATGAGTAATTCATAAATTTAAAACTCAAACATGCATCAAAGACTCAAAATGCAAACATTGTACACTGTGGATTTCAGAAATCCATTTTCTAATTGGACTACTAGTCCATGATAAACTTTTGATCATTAGTATTCATATTTCATTGGATTTCTTGTCCATGATAAGCTTTTGATTTATTATCTTAGTTTCATGTCGACATCAAAATGACATATATTTCTGATCCCTTATGCACAAGTCCATTCCTTCTGCATATGCATATTATATATCGGTTCCATCATATACCGGTATCATCATATAATCCCTCAAGGTACCATTTTAATTTGCATGCTATTTTGACAATGATATATGAATACATTTCTCATTGGTACCATCATAACTTTTCTTACATCATATGCCATCTATTGTAATAATTCAGATATCTATACCCCTTTTGTGGGATTTCATACACTATGGTATTTATATACTATTACAATATTAAAAGTGTTAACTGCACTATCTTGCCACATATCATATCTTTATTTTGGAACCGATCATACAACCCACACTTCAGGCATAGTGATTCAAGTATAATTGGCAAGATTTTATCTCAATGTATACACATAATATGACCAAAATGTATCTTCAACGCTATGCAACATGAGTCATAACTGGATACAAATCAAATCTAATGTGCAACATATCTTGATAATATATAGACAAAAGTTAGCGTATAACTTTTCAAACTACCATTACAGGGATCATCAAATTCTTTTCGATTTTCCAACTTTTGCTGATTCTTCTTCCCCTAAGTTGGTAAAATATCTCATTTATAGGGGCGTCTAATTCTATACCAACGTAGTATATAAATTTGCATTAAAATTCATTTCATGCGAGGATCACAATCAAAATTTATCTCTCAAAAGATTTGTATTAAACAACATTTATCTCTTCTGGAGAAGAATTTCAATGAAGAATCATTTCTTCATTAACTTGACATTGCATGTGTATTTATTATTACAATTTCCATAATATGTTCTCTTATGGAGATCAATGTCAATGGGGAGACATGTGTTGTGCAATTGTACGTTTTTCCTTCTTCTCCTCTTTCTGATGTGCTGACATATAATAGCCCCAATCAAAAGAATTGGTATACAAGCGTAAATCACTTGCTTGTAATTCTACTAGGTGGTGATCTTCTGGATCTTTGAAGAGTTAAATAGTGTATTTGGTGAGCTTCTGGTCACCTAATACTTGACAATAATATATAAGTTATTTTGGTGAACTCCTGGTCACCTATTACTCTTTCGTATATATAAAAATCAAAACCTATTAACTCTTGAAATTTTCATCAACACAAAATTATTATAGTACAATCTCAATGTTATGTCTTGCCATTTAATTCATTTCATATATCTAACATTGAGAGAGTGTCAGCACATTATCTAATGAAACTTCAGGTTTTCATAACGGGTATTTATTGAACCCGGATGGCCTAATTTAATTATCACATCCAATTGTTTATCTAAATTTAAATTCTGGTCATTTTTCCAACAATAGTGATCACTTAAATTTACTTTATTAAACTTACTTTATGCATGGTCATGAGTATGATGTGATATTAGAACACCAACATGTGTTTCTTATACAATTGGCAAGACAATCAACTAATATTTTATCCAATAATTACCCATACTCTGCTAGAGTTTTGACTATAATCTTGATACATGTTAATCTTATTGGACATTTCATACTCTTTTGGAGTCTTTTATATAATCATGGAATATATGAATTTTACTAAAATTGTGATTTCTTCAAGAAATGTAATGGAATTTATCACTTCCTCAAATTTGTCATTGTTAATAATGTCTCCTTTCCTTTTCAAAGATACTTAATTATCTATGAACATATTGATCTATCACGCTTTAGGCATGCTATAGGTTCATCAACAATTGATGTTGTCCTTCTGGACATTAATTTTAATTGGAGCATCTACAACTAGTATATGATCAATGACATTTATTTATATCCATCTTCAGCATGGTACCATTTCAAAATAAATAATTAACATGTGGCCACTTCTATTAGATAAATCGTTGATATTTAAGTTAATGTATGTATCAAACTGACCATCAATATATTTATTATTTATGTGCAAGGATTACTTACAATCTCCCCCTAATCATTGCATATAGGGGTATTGAATCAATCCAACAACCTTTGAAATCCCTACACCTTTTAAGCCATAAGTTCTATTGGCAATGTCATGTATCAAGTAACGTGTTCCTTTTAGCAAAAACATGCTTAAATAAAATTATACTTATAGAACACTTAATCATGTTCCTCTTGCCCAATTACATTCATCTTAAAAGAAAAAAAAAACAAAACCTCTTATATTTATGGGCATAATAAAACGTTGATCATGTAAAGTTTCTCTCAATGTTATGTTGCATTTTATAAACTCATAAACATTATTTCTTGGTCCAATAGTTGATATGTAATCATGTTTGCAATTCTAATTGAGCTTTTCAATGAGTTGTAATCATGAAAACATTATGCAAACATGCTTTCTTTCAATTACATGAACTCTTATTCACTTGTGGAGTGAGTAAATCTAGTAATTTATGAAACATCAATTCTCACCCAGGGTTCAATATCGGAAAACAGATCATTTGTATGTTCTTTCTCACGACATTGTGTAGTTTATAGAATCACTTTAGTAATGGTAAAGTATTTAAGCAACATACTTCACATACTAGTAAAAATTCTGAGTTATACGTATATTCATATTATTATCTTTTTCTATGAGGGATTTGGACCCTTCATAAATTTAATTAACGAACTTTAGGTCCACATGTATGAGTACTTCATGTTCAATTTACTCATCATTCTTATAATCCAACTTTATGTAGGCATATGCAACATACATAATCGAATTCAATCTTCAACCAAGAACGATATTAACACGGTAATCACTTGATTCAATCAAGATAGATCCAAAGTTAAATCTGTAACTAACACAAATATATACATACTCCTAGACAAATACAATGTTTATTTCTAGTGAAACAGAAAACTGGCGTATGTGTTTTATATAGACTTTATAAAGAGAACAACCTAGCTATCTAAAGAATGTTAGGAGATAAGAATGCTAACTATAATTGATTGTACAAGAGTTATCATATGTAAATAATTATGAGGATAATTATTTACGGTTGTTTTACTTTAATAAATTATTCAGCCATATATAGTTTGACTTGTAATTATTGATCTAACAAAAATAATCCAAATAAAAGATTTTTAAACATATATTTACAATTGAACAAAATATATTGGTCCTAATCTAACGTCATGCTTCTAGTGACTTGCAATTCCTCTTATTATAGACAGCTTGGTTTGTACTAGTATAATATTTTAACTCTTCATTACCAGTATAGATTGAAATAAAAAAAAGTAAGATTGAAAACCAAAAATTATACTTATGTTAAACCTCTAAAACTAATGCTCCTTACTAAGAATATCATTGAACCTATAAAAGGGCATAATGATGGATACTCTACTTCAATAGTCTCAAAGGCAACTAATACCACTAACAATTAAAATCAAGTTGAAATACTACAACACGAATAACAATATCAATCATTATATGACTAATATGAATATTTCAAGCCGCATCTCAATACTACGCACGGAAGAAAAACAGAACTTAACACCATAATTTAACAACTTTAAAATTGAGTTCATGTTATTATTGTTTATTTAATTTCAATAAATTTGTAAAGTATACTGTTTTTTTTCGAACGGAATTAATAGTTCCATGCTAGTAAAACCTTAAAAAGTTAAAACATTCCCCTCACTCAAAAATTCCAATTAAATCAAAAAACACTTCTGCCACTGGTGTAAAATGGCGTCAAAATTAACACAACCATTTTCAATAGATCCTTCGTTTGACAAAGACAGGCATGTACGATTCCTAGACATGATGTACGAATTACTACCCAGTGATTACGAGTCTCAAGAGATCAACCATCTTACTCTTGCTTACTTTACTCTCTCTTCTCTTGATATTCTTGGCGCTTTAGATCGGGTACTTTCTTCTTCCAATTTCTTGCATTTTAGTTTGTGATTATTTTTTATTTCATTGATAAAATGTTGAATTTTAGTTACCCATTATACATTGTTCAAAATTTTTATTCTTATCATTAAATTATTATGTATGTTGCGATTGTTTGGGAATTTGTGTGAGTATTTTGTTCATAATTTTTTTTTTGTTTGTTTTTTTTGGGTTTAAAATTGAATTATACCCGTTATACATTGTTCATGAATTTTGTGTTTTGATTATGCGAATAATGTTAAATGATGTAGTTTTGAGAGGGAATTTGTGACATTGTTGATTAAGTGATTAGTACGCTATATATATTGTGTTAAGTACACTTTAAATTTTGAATTTTGTTATAGTTTACAGGGTTGAATATAAGTATTTGCATTAGTAATTTCTGAAATTAAGATGATTTCTAATCTAATGAATTTGGTTTGGCTTGGATTGTAACGGATTGTATGGGTGACAGTTGTAAATTCAAATTAATTGATAAGCACAAATTTGGCTTCTCATATAGTTCCAAACTTGTACAGAATTTGATATTTTGATTATGATACTTAACTTTTTAAATCATAACAATGTGCGTGTCGGTTGCTAAGCTCGCAAACCTAAGTAGAGATGTTTTGCTATGCTGCCATAATTCTGAGATTTTCTGTCTAAAGACAGCTTTTTCTACAAATTTGGAAAGATTTAGACAGAGTTCTGTTTATTAGGTTATAGTTGAGGACTGGCAAAGTGAAGGGAGCTTCATTGAATTTGTTGGTTTTTGCTTGTTTTTCTTGTTCTGTTTCCGTTTGTATTTGAATTTACATCTATTCTTTGGGGGAATATAGGGTGGGAGGAGTGAAGGTTTTTGACCACTATTTTGATGTGCTTCTCATGTGATTGGGCAGTTGATAAATATCCAAGCTTGGTATGACCTTGGGGCATAGTTAGATGGTAGTATGGGTAAGAGTGCACCCCAAGCCTATCTTAATAAAAAGTTTAGTGGTATTAGGTGTGGATTTTGGAAATCATCAACATGTGTTTTACTATGTGCTAGTGCACTGTATGTTACTGTTAGGTTGAGGGGCTCACAAATTGTGCAATCAACAATATAATTTGCAGAAACATAGACAGGAAATAGTAAAGAAGAACAATAAAGTACACTGAAGAATTATACGTGGAAAATCTTCTCTTTGCCAGAGAGGAGTAAAACCACCAATTTTGCATTAAGCCTAAACTCAAACTCTCTGTCCCTCTTAGGGTTCTCTATCCTGAGTAGTTCCTGACTCATATGAGAATTGTGCTCTTAAGTGGATCAATAGGTAACTTATATTAGGGTACAATTAGTTTCCAAACCCTAGTCAACTAAATACAATTTTGGAGGAGAAATGAGACTACACAACCGTGTACCCAATGCCACACAGCCGTATCTGGCAGAAACTCATAGTCTTCTTGGCTAGTGGTACACAATTGTGTGCCATCACCTGACAGAATGCTATCATACTATGCCCAATGCGACTTTGATGCCTCCACACGAATGTGCCTTTAATCCCCTATGTTTTTTCCTTTCTCCAAATATCCTCCCTGTCAAACCATCTCTACTAACCAACATTTTCTTGTTCACATACAAAAGGGGTATGTGAAATACAAATCTGAAATTGGAACTAGATTCTTGTGGGAAACCATCTTATTGTCACTTCAACTTCACTTCTCTCCTCCTTGGTGCCTTATTTGTGGAATTTTCTTCCTTTTCTTTTTCCTTCAATTGTCATTCAATTTTCTTATGCTCTATTTTGGAAAAAGGAATTCATTTGGAACTAACCAAATCCGTATCCTGGAAGCTCATAGAGTTTGGAATTTGTGTAAATCTCACACCTCTTAAAATGTCTTAAAAGGTAATATTTTCAAATGACATTAAGATACTGGTCTTTTCTAAATCCTTACCAAAGGCGCTTAATACTCTTTTAATCTGATTGCTCTTAATACTCTCCTAATCTTAATCTCTCTTTTCTGTTCCTACTTCTACCAAAAAGTACTTAATTGATTTTGATAGAAGATCAAGCCTCTTACTTTTGTAGCTACTACATAGTGCATACAGCTTTCATGTGAAAAAGGAACGGAATTGATGGGAAAAATTTTATAAGTTAGAATTTCAGACATAGATATTGAAATTCTATTTTTTAATCTACTCTTTTAGCTGCTGTATTTTTCTTCTCAGTTTCTCTCTCCTTGTGTTCATGATGCACATAGCGGAATATTTGAGCTTGATATTCCTCTACTGAGCTACTGTAGCCCAATTATGTACTTGATGTCTTGATATCTCAATCACACAAGCTCAAACAATCATATTATGGAGTGACCAAGTTGGATGTGCCAAAATTCTTAATCCGGTCTGGGTGGTTTCAGCTCATCTTCCAGATTCATCACGTGATTATAAATCTGCTAGTTGATCTCTAGTTGATTAGCTGTAAATTTGTAACCGCTATGAATCATCATGAATTAGAGATCAGGGACAGAAAAGAGAGATTAAGATTAAAAGAGGAAGGATTAGGAATGAACAAGCAAGATATGACTGTATTATTGATAATCAAGGTGACTAATCATCAATTACAACCTAGGCAATCGTTCAAGAGGAATGGCACTCTTTTAAGTCAAATTTCTAAACATTTTCATAACTTGTTACTAATTATTTGTTGCAAATTTGACTCCTTGTTGTTCCTTAGGCCATTTTTTAAAATTCCATCTGTTTATGGACAATAATATTTCTTTTTCAGTACTTATTGATTATCGTGGTGAAATGAAGAATATATGCAACATAGAGGTGTTTGTTTTGGCTAATCAAGTTCTTATATCTTTGCTTGTACCTGTGATGTTCTGAAATTTGACTTTTTCTCTTCTTTTATTCGGAGTTTCTTCAAGGAAATAAGCACTACTAATTTCGTGTTTGCTAGAGATATAAATTTAACATAGTTCTATTAGCAGCTGTCCTGGTGCTTTTATCTCGTGATAATAATAGAAGCAGCCACTGTTGTTGCTTCTTGAATTTTTTTATGTTGTGTCTATATTGTTGCATATTAATTTGGTGGTTGAGGAAGTGATGGCTAGATTGAGGAAGGGAAGATAGGAGAGAGATTTAAGAAAGAGAAAGTGAAAGAGAACATGAAAAAAAAAAAAAAATTAATCAAATTATTTTGTAGAGAGCTTGTGTAAAGGTAGAGCTCTTGTGCTTATATATGCTTTGAAGTTGGTATGGTACCGGCCAGTAAAGTTGTGTAGAATAATTGTATTGACATGTACAGATTTGATCTTGCACATGTTGGACTTCTTGTAACATCTTAATCATATATCTGGTGGATTCATGCCTCTGTTCATCAGCTCTATTTTTCCTCTCATGTGTTGTATTGCTTGTTTCAAAGTATAAAGCTGTTTGACTAATAGGTTGACAAGGAGGCAATAGTTGCATGGGTGTTGTCATTTCAAGCTCATAAAAAAGATCAAGATGACTTGAGAAGCGGTAAGTGAGTCTGTGTGGTTTTCTTCTTTTTATTTTTTCGAGAGGGGTAGGGGTTGGAATTACAAGGTAGACTTGTTAACTTATCCTGGATCAAAATTTTGTAACACAATTGTTTAATGTACTATTATGATGACATAGGACAATTTTATGGATTTCTTGGTTCGAGGTCATCACAGTTTCCAGCAGATGCTCTTAAGGTTGGTTTTGAATTCAAATAATGTGGAGTTACTTGGGTTGGGTATGATTTATGCTCAAAGGTATAAGGAGCTGATTATAGCACTTCTTACTCTTTGTCTGCTGCTTCAGAATTCAAATTGTAACAGTAGTCATTTGGCAAGCACGTATAGTGCATTAGCTATACTGAAGATCCTTGGCTATGATTTTTCTTTGTTTGATTCTGAATCCATATTGAGATCTATGAGAAACCTGCAACAATCTGATGGGAGGTACGCTTTTCTCATGCTTCCATTGCCCCTTCATACATCTAGTCTTTTGTATTATTCATTTATCTCTTTCTGATGCCAACTTCTGAAGTTTTGAATAGGACCTGCCATCTTTAGGGCAAATGTAATGAACCCAAAATGGGGCAAAAGACCCTTTAGCAAAAGAAGACAAAACTAATTAAGGGAGCACCCCTAAGGGGTGTGGCAACATGGGACTGAATTCTGATACTCTTGAGCAGTAAAGGACAAACATTATTAATATTAGATTATTTTTGTAGTTTTGCTTGATTATAAAAGGGAAGTAGCATAGCAGTAGAAAGGCGTGAGATTTGTATTGTGGAATGAAAGAGAATGGTAAGCTAAAGTTACCAAGAGAGTGATAATTGAAAGTATCAAAGAGAGTAATAGCCTAAAGCTATTATTCTACAGTATTATTTTGTAACCCTTTGCCATTGTAATCAAAGACTCAATCTTCATCTTTATTTTTTCTTCTTATTCGTTTGATTTAAAAAAACCAGAGAATCAGTCTATTACATAAAACAAGAAGCAAAACACATTCTTTTCCTTTTTTTTGCATGGAGTTATTATGCTATGCACTAGCTGACTTATCTTTTCTATTGCCTTTAAATGCATCAAAACAGGTGCTATAGTGATATTAAGGTAGATTTGATATGTTGTTAATGTTGCAAGTTTCAACGAAGAGCATGGACTTTAGAAGTGCTACTTTAAATTATATCAATCAATCAAAGCCTTAATCCCATGAGTGGGGTCGGCTACATGAACCAAAAGTGATTATTCCGTGTAGTCATCGGCAAAAATCTTCCTCCTCCATCCCTTGTTATCCAATGCCTCATTTTCATGCAAATCCATATACTTCATATCCTTCATGCTACTTTAAATTATACTAATACTAAATTTCTTTTTTGACTTGTGAGTTAAGTCATTCTGCTCATTGGAGTATAGATTTATTGGTGTAATCGATGGTTGTATACACTCATGTTATATGCATTTGCTTTCTGTAAATGCTTTTGAGAAAAGGTTATTTTAGCATAATTATCATAGATAAGTTAAGGGGCCGTTTGGTTGTGGTTAGTAATCATAGGGAAAGGGAATGAACAAGCCCCATTCCCTTTGTTGTTGTTTGTTTGTCACTTTTTGTCATTCCCTTTACCCACTTTTATTTTTGAGTTCACCAAAATCTATTCTACATTGATTCCCCACCCCTAACCTTTTCCATTCCCTTTCCTTAGCCACCACTACACACCATACCCACACCAGCCACCACCCTTTCTACCTACCCCCACCACCTAGCCTCGGAGGGGCGGCCAACGCTTTTAAGGGGAGGGGGAGGGGTTTCTAGGGTTATGCGAAGGTGGGGGGAAGGTTTACAGGAGAGGGGAGGGGCGGCAAGGGGTGTTGGAGGTGCGGCGAGTGAGGCTGGGTGGTGGCCGGAGAAGTGGGAAAGTGAAGAAAGAGGGGGTTGTGTGGTGGTGGCGGTGGCGGTGGTGGTGGTGATTCGCTTTGTTTTTTTAAAACAAACAACGTACTAAATGTAAATTGTTTTCATTCCATTCTCTTTCTTTCCCTTCGTTCATTATTCCATTTCGTTTACCCTGTTCAAACCAAACGGCCCCTAAGTAAAATTTGTTTCAGCTTGCAGCTGAGTGACCTGAGTTGTTGGAGATGGGTGTTGATATAATTTTTGTTAGTAGATCAGTAGGCTGTTATCATTTGCAGATATTTTAGTCCTAAACCAAGAGCCAAAAGCTGGTAGTTGTAGCAGCAATCTCTGATGATTGATTTTGGGTACATGATTTCTCATTCTTTCATATTTATAATGAAGATGGTGAAATTTCAATTAGGCTGTGCTGAATTGTATTATTTTCTAGAATCATATTACAATCAATTTCTTCAAGATGGAAGAAAAAATAAAAAGAAAAAAAAATATGACATGCTTGTTTCACTTACTATTTATTTGCTACCGCTCTTCATGATGGAAGAAAAAATATAAAGAAAAAATAAAGGCTGCCTTAGAATTTCTTACGTGCTTATTTCACTTACTATTTATTTGCTACCGCTCTTCACAGCTTTGATTTTGGCATAGGAAGCCTGAAATATCCGTGCAAACTGCTGTGCTAGGTGCTTTAAGATATGCGTGATTTATACTCTATGTTACAGAATGGCGTCAACCTGTGAAATGTTGAGGCACTTTCAGAAGTTTTATGTATCAGTCAATACTTGCTCTTTCAATCTAGTAAATGGAAATAACTGTGCTCTTGGGAAATTCACATTGGTGTCTTGAAGCACACATCCTATTAAAGTTATTAACTAATCACGTGTAAATTTTCACCAACATTTGTCCCTTCTACTATGATTATGTAGCCATGAACTATTACTATTATGGGGTGCATGATTGTTATTTTTTTCATTTTTACAGTTTTATGCCTATCCATATTGGGGCTGAGGCAGATCTGCGGTTTGTGTATTGTGCTGGTAAGATCAGATGAGAGCTTTTACTACTATACTTTAACATCTGTTAAAATGGTTTTGTGCAGTATTATACCCTTACTTTCCTTTTGGTCTTTTGTGACAATCAGCTGCCATTTCCTATCTGCTGGATGACTGGACTGGAATGGACAAAGAGATGGCTAAGGAGTATATTTTGAATTGTCAGGTAGATGAAAATTTATTGCTATTTTGCAGTCTTGACATGCCTTGTTCTTCCAAACTTGCTATCCTGATGCTGAATTCAATTGTATGATCCTGTTTTTGCAGTCATATGATGGTGGCTTTGGTTTATGTCCTGGTGTGGAATCCCATGGTGAGTAGATAAAACTTGAATTTTTAAAACCAGCTTTGTATGTACTTTTAGATGCTCAATTTTTTGTTTATATAAGTGTTAGCAAATTGTTGATTTCTTGAGGCACATATTTTCTGGTTTAAGTTTCCTTGCCCTCTTTTTTCAGGCATTTAGTTTCCTTGTCAATATAATGTATACCTATGACACTAGTGATACAGGTGGTGCAACATACTGTGCAATTGCATCTCTACGACTGATGGGATTTATAGAAGATGATCTTCTCTCCAAGGGTGTATCATCCTCAATCATAGACATTCCCGTGCTTCTCGATTGGATGATGCAGGTTTGCTTTTCTATCTCGTTTTCTCAAAAAAATTGTCCTAATGCTTCAAACAATATAAAAGATAGCATTTGCATTGTTGAAGTCATTCTTTCTATTGTTTGAAAGAAAATTTGTCCAAAACTATTTAAATTAAGAGAGTGATATATGAGGGAATATTGTTCTATCTATTATTCCATCTAGTACGGGATATATATGCATGTAGGTTATCTAGGGTTTTCTAGGATAAGATCAAATATCCTAACTCTAGAATGTTCAAGAGAGTATTTGGGATAATGGTCATCCACTTATTGTTTCATAACGCTCCCCCTTGGATGACCATTATATAAAACAAAGAAAAATTTACTAGAAAAACCTACAAAAAGAATACATTATTACATAATGCGCATAAGATATTGTCTCATTAAAAGCCTAACCATGAAAACCTAGTGGGAAAAAACCATGGTTAAGGGAAAAAGAGTGCAGCGTGCATTAACTCCCCCTCATGACTACATCACTTTAGATCCTAAAGACGATGCAAACTAATGCCGTAAGTTAAACTTTTGAATGTGGCTGTTGGGAGCGCCATAGTAAACGAATCTGCCAAGTTTTCGAATCTGTATGACTTTTATATCGCCATTTTTTAGGAGATCATGAGTGTAGAAGAATTTTGGTAAAATGTGTTTTGTTCTCCTTTGATGTACCCTTCCTTAAACTGGCAATGCATGTTATCCTCATGTAAAATTGTTGGAACTTCTTTCTCGGAGTATGTGCCACAATTTGTCTGTATGTTGAATTACAGATCTTAACCATACACATTCAGGATTGCCAAAATTTCTGCATTGTTAGAAGAAGTAGCTGCAATTGTTTGTTTCATACAACGCAAGAAATGGAAGTACCTCCACACATGAACACATATCCAGTTTGTGATCTAGCAATAGCATTATGAGGATCAGAAAAACCGATTAAACCTTCTTCCGATAGGTTAGAGGAAAGAAAAAAAAAACCCATATCTTTCGTACGTTGGAGGTAACGAAGTACATGCTTAACCCCATTCCAATGCCTCTGGGTAGGGCATGAGCTAAATCATGCTAACAAATTTACAGAAAATGATATGTCAGGTCATGTATGACTAGCAAGATTCGTTAATGCCCCTAATACACTTTAATATGGTACTTCAGGACTAAGATTTTTTTTCTTCGTTTTTTTTCTGGAGGACGGAAAGGATCTTTTTCTACTTCAAAGGCTTTAATAACCATAGGGTTATTCAATGGATACATTTTTATCTTGTAAGAACCTTTTCTATGTAGTTTGACTCTTGCACAAGGATTCCATTCTTTAGGTGCTTAGGTTGTGTCACTAAGAAAAACTCAGGGCGTGTTCGACAAAAGTAGATGTGTGGGTAGTAGTAAGTTGTCGTAGGCTCGTAGTAGTTGTTAGCTTAGTTGTGAATGTATTAATTTTTAGTAGGAGTGTTCGGTAAATTTTTAAATAATTAAAATTATTATTTCATTATTATAAATATTATAATTATATTATTAGTCAAATTTTTATAACATAATGGTGTCAACAAGATACGATGCATAGCTACATCTTTTGTAAAGAATGCAATTTTTCTTAATATAATTTGAAATGAAGAACGCAAAACACAATAAGACCAAGTTATATATATAGCTATACAAATTTTCAACATTAAGCATGAGATAAATAGCGAAACAATTTTTTTTTTAAACGTTATGCGTTTGAGATAAGTATTAAAACAGTATTTCAAATTTAAAGGATAGAAAAACAAAAATTGGATTTTATTTCCTAAAATTTTGGATAAAAATTCCACACCTAATTTTCACACCAAAAAAAAAAAAAAAAAAAATTAAAAAAATCTCATAGCTATTCAGATTTTAAAAGTTTGAACTTTTGGTAAAAGCTACTTTAAACACTAAAAGCTAAGTTCACCACTACCTTGCTTATTTCAATCCGTATAGAGATCTACTCAATTTGATTGAGTATTGTTCTTGAAAACATGAATTTGTTGCTTTTGGCGGTTGGGAGCTCCATATAAGAAAGTCGTGACTACATCAAATCAGGCGTAGTCAAAGTCCTCTTATTGCTAGACTAGTTAGAAATCTAAAAGTAGTTGCATCCACCTAAGAGAGTTTGTCTTCTCATAATCAATACCAGGTCTTCGTGAGAATCTCGTGCAACTAATCGTATCTTACAACATCACCATTTTAATTTCTCTTTCGTACAAAGACCTATTTATATCCCACTAGCATTACACCAAATTCAAATACTTCTTTTCTCCGAGAGATTTCAATTCTGCCTCAATTGCTTCTTTCCATTTTGGCCAATCACTTCTTTGTCTACATTCATCAATGGATTTTTGGCTTATGATCCTCATCATTATTTAATGACATCTAATGCCACATTGCATACAAAAACATCATCGACGTCGACTTGGTTTCGGTTCCATGTAATTCCAAACATGACAAAATTTGTTGTAATTTCTTTGTTGTTAGGTACCTGAATATCTTTTTCCATCATGTCTAAGGTCTCATCTAGAGATCCTTCAAAATTAATAGCTTCCTTAGTTTGGCAATTGTCAATTGTCAATTGTTGCTCCCTTTTTTTTTTTTTTTTTTTTTTTTTCCGAGGATTTTTATCTTTGGAACCGATAGGTCTACCACGCTTCAGGCGTGCTCTTTAGAATCAGTTACAACTTGGGCTTGTCCTTCCGGGACATTAATTTTTATTAGAGCATTTACACCTCGTATATGTGACTTTGTCACTTTCTTTGGGTCAGTAAGGCCATATTCGTTTTAGTTGTTGTGGTAGAAATCTGCTCTGCTGTGCCGAGTCCCTGCGCTGCTTAGTATTTATAGTCTGCGTGACACTTGCTGCTCGCTGAAATCTAATCTACTCCGCTTAGAAGCTCAAAAAGAACAAGGCCTAAATGAGTATGGCAGTTGATTTGCTAAGCTTTGTGAATGAATTATCTTTTAGACTTCCGATTCACATTATTTATTACGAGGATCTAGGTGAGACAATGATAATTCTTTCCAATTTCCAGTTGTGTGTTTTCTCTCACCTAATGTTGGAAAAATTGACTCATCAAAATGACAGTGTGTAAAACGAGCCAGAAATAAATCTCCTCTAGTTGGCTCTAAATACTTAATTATCGATAGAGATTCATATCCAACATATATCCCAATTTGCCCTGAAGGCCCATTTTAGTGCGTTGTGTTAGAGTAATTGGAACATATACTGCACATCCAAATATTCTCAAATGGGATACATTTGACCAAAAACCAATTGTGATTGGGAGAACTTATGATGACTTGTTCGCCATATGAGATGCGAATGAGTGTTGTTGCATGTAATATAGCATGTCCTTTAGTAGAAATTGGGAGCTTAGATTTTATAAGCAATGGTCGAGCAAAAAACTGCAAACGTTTAATTAACGATTCTACAAGACCAATTTGTGTATGAACATGTGCTACAGGATGTTCAACACTAATCCCTAATGACATGCAATTCATTGAAGGCCCTAGATGTGAATTCTCCAACACTACTAGGAACATGTGCTCGTGCTTGTAATCTGATGAACCGAGTAAGTAGTCTTGTAAACGCCTGGTTGCAAGTTGATAACAATGATATGTGTGACCATCTAGTTGATGCATCTATTAAAACCATGAATTATCTAAATGGCCTACACGGGTTATGAATTGACTTATATATATATATATATCCCTTTGTATATATTCCAAAAGTAATTGATTCAGAATTTATTTGGCCGGTGATGGCGGAGTATCAACTTGCCAATTGAGCAACTTATGGCTCTTCAATGAATGTCCATATGAATTTTAAAAAAAAAAAAAAAAATTGCATCATTATTGAATCGGGATGGCCTAACCGGTCATGCCAAATAGTAAAATATTGTTAAAAGTTTCTAGAAAATGGAGCAAGTAATAAAATATGCCCGCAAATGTATTGATTTTTGTATAGTACAAATTAGTGGAGAATGTAGGTAATTTCTCTTTGGGTTATACTCGTGATTTGAGGGAATTCATTTTTCCCTTCACTAATTGTCTCAAAATGGTATCCATTTTGTCAAATATCTAAAACTTAGTAAATTTCTTTGAGACTTAGGGAGTATAATGCATCAATAATTTCCAATGTTGTTCCCTTTGACGATAAAACATTTGCTCTTCTAAAGCTTTCTATAATCTTGTACTACCTGATATAGTACTCACACTTATCTCTTTCGTCATCAAAAGCAAAAAATATTTCTTATGATTAAGTATGATGTGAGTGGTTGCACTATCAACTAGACATAAACTTTCACCATTGATTGGTGATTGAGCTTTGAAGGGATTCACATTCTTTTCTACTTAAAATAAATGAATTAAAATAAGATTCACAAAAACAAATAAAATAACTTAAATTAATGATATGACCAATAATGATAATAACGAAATATTTGAAAAAATAAAATTGTCCAAAACAAATGCCCCATAAGGCATAAAGTCATAGTGTTTAATTTTCTTTAATAACACAAAATAAATGCAATAACATAAAATAAATGCAAGCTAATAGAGTTTATTCGCCAAATGATCATGATTTATTCAATTATTTTCTCCGGGAGTAGTAAAGAGTTAGGTACTCTTAACGGAATTTCATGAATCATATTCATACGCACCTAAAACAAGATTGCATGCATAACATACAAGAATCATAAAATTATACCTTTGAAGCGTGAATTCCACGTAGCAAGTTGATTGACAATTAGGGAGAGGATAGAGCCCCAAGCGTTGCTCCTCTACTTAGTCCACGGGATTCGAATGAGCCGTCCACCAATACTAGATTGGTCGGATGAAGGGAAACACCACGATCACCACCTTTGCGAACAACCGACACCACCACGAACCACCACCACCACCGTACACACAACCGGCGCAAGGAGGGGAGAGAGAGCCGTGAGAGAGAGAGAGAGTTTGAGGGGTTGGGTTTCGTGTTTGCTAACTCGG